AGTTTGGCCCCCCTTGTTCTTATTCTTTCGTTTTCACTTTTTAGCCCCACCTGTTTTTTTTTTTTTTTTTTTTCATTTTCCCCCTTTTGTATCAGTCTCCATGTAAAATGCATTTGAATATATATATTTATGCTGGACTGTCAAACGCTGAATATAAAATATTTATTCAATATGTACTGCAGCAGCAAGAAAAAATGTTTTTATGCTTAAAAGTATTTAGATCATATTACACGACTCTGTATGTTATGACACAATCACATTCTTGCATGTGTCTGTAGCTATGAATTTAACAAGTAGTCATAAAGTGGACATAAAACTCCAGTAATTTATGTATACTTAGGGCTCTAATCTCGCAATTACAATTCTCCAGCATTGATCTTTTTACATTTGGAAAAAAAAAAAAAGATATAACCATTTTCAGCTAGTTGCTAAATTCCACATCACTCTTCTTAAAAAAAAAAAAAAAAAGCTGATTGGTAGTTTCAAAGTGGAAGAAATTGTTTGAAATGCAGCAGCAGAAATTTGGATGCTGCATGCTGGTAAGCCTTTTCAAAGCCATGTAGAAGAGGAAGCAGAGGAAGAAAAGGTGACCTTAAAGTCTCCCATTTTACCTTCCATTCAGGGCTTGGTTTGCGTGCGAGGTTGGCTGGCTAGCTGAATTCGTGGGCTGTCGCTGCATCACACTGATCCAGTTCAACAGCACACAGAGGCAGCAGCCAATTAGATACTTTCGGACTCCTAACACGGGTCCGCATGACCAGTCAGCAGTTCACTGGTAACAGCCTAACCTGTATAAGAAGCTCAGGATGTGACTCAGTGGATTTTATCTGCGCTAGAAGTGACATGTGGTCAAGATGCGGGCCGCTCTGCTCTGTTCAAAGAAGATCTCAGAGATGTGAGACCAGAGGATGAGTTACAAAGAGCTCTGCGTGTATTGCAGCTCACCTATACAGAGCTTGGTAGCTCACAGAAGGTTTTATGGTCTGCAGTATCACATTTAGAAGCAGAGGGGGATTGAGAGAAAAAGTTTTGGAAAGGAGATGATAGTTTACTCCAAACGTGACAGATACCTCTGGGGAAAAACAGTAAAGCGTAAACCCAATAAAAGAAAAGCTGATTAATCAAAGTACCTTAAGCGACAACACTTTTCAGATTGGATGCTGTTACTAAGGAGACTTTTGGAATCGGATTGTAAAACGATGTCAGAGGAATAACACAGTTGACATGTCTGCAGTTCACTCAGGCTATGAGAGAGTG